GGGGGACGTGAAGCCGTAGGGGAACTGGTCGCACGGCGGTCACGGTAGGGACAACGGGGTCCCTCCGGAGAGTCGGCGAAAGGTGTTAAATAGTGAGTAAAGAACAATATGTACTGTCGGTGCAGAAAGTGACCAACACATAAATATTTGTAGTTTTGCCGTATGTTGTGATCGGAGGTGGCCTAGCACTCAATGACACAGGGTTTATACTGGTTCAGGCAACATGCCCTACGTCCAGTTTGAGTCGGTCGGTGACTTTATTCCTGAGCCCAGGTGCTCGAAGTTTGCAGGGGATTACAAACGAGAAGGAGAAAGATGGGGGGTACAAGAGGTCCGGTCGGACTCTGGTCAGAGGGGTCGAGAGTGACGGGAGCTCCGCTATGTGCTACGTGTTTGAGCGTGTGCTCGAGGTTTGAACCTGGTGGTTCTGTTGTTGTGTACTAGTGAACTTGATCGATCTGAATCAACTTATCTGTTGGAGAGAGCGCATCCCCTTTTATAGATGAAGGGGATGGCCTTACAAGTGAGAGGGAGAGAGTGCGTGTGCTACTAAGCCTTGTTGCCCCTGCAAGATGATGGTAGGCGCCCACAATACTATTGTTGTCACTGTTGAATGTTAGATGCATGTGGGAGATTGTGTCGTCTTCTTCAGGTATGGCAGATGTCGGTGCCTGCCACACTGTTTTACCATGTTCGCCCGGTACGGTAAATACCGGTGTCCACAATACTGTTGATGCCTCAGAGGCACATGGGGGAGCCTTACCATATTTGTCTGGTATGAGAGTTGATGGCGCCCATAACACTGTAGGGGAAAATGTCGGCGCCTACAACACTGCTTCGGTTCTGCCATGCCATGCAGGTCGTAGGGTACTATTTGGCAGGTGCACAGTGTATGGTCCCTAGTATTGCGGTTTGACTTGTGTACCTTGCCTTACTTTCTTCGTACGTTTCCTGGTCCTTTCCGAGCGGGTGTCCCCGGTCGATCGGTCCTAGTCGGCTCTGATTATGCCAGTCGGAGAGGAGCTGTAAGCAGGGGTTCGGCGCATTCCCGGTCAGAGAGGCCGTCCGAAGGCGGGCTGGAGACCGAAGCGAGCGCTCCGATCGGAGAGGCGGGCCGGAGTTGGAAGTGGACGCCGTTCCTCCTCGGCCAGGCCTTCCGGTCGTTGATTGGATCGCCCTTCTGAAAGCTCTAGTTTGGTTTTGGTTAATTGATGAAATCCTAAGTGCTAACCTAGTTTATCAAAGTGATCATGAGATAGGTAGCACTACTCCAAGTAATGAAGCAATGGCAAAGATCATGACGATGGTGATGGCATGGTGATGATCAAATGCTTAAACTTGGAAAAGAAGAAAGAGAAAAATAAAAGGCTCAAGGCAAAGGTATAAATTGTAGGAGCCACTTTGTTTTAGTGATCGAGACACTTAGCGAGTGTGATCACATTTAGGATCGGTAGCCATACTATTAAGAGGGGTGAAACTCGTATTGAAATGCGGTTATCAAAGTGCCACTAGATGCTCTAACTCATTGCATATGCATTTAGGATCTAGTGGAGTGCTAACACCCTTGAAAATGTTTGTGAAAACATGCTAACACATATGCACAAGGTGATACACTTGGTGGTTGGCACATTTGAGCAAGGGTGAAGAAGATAGAGGTGAAAAGGAGTTAGTCTCACTATCAGGTATCGCGGAGAAGACGATGGCATCGGTCAACTGACCGGATGCTGGGTCGCTCAGCGACCGATCGCTGGAAGGCTGCGTCTGGTCATGCTGTCAGATAGCGTGCCAAAATGTTGCTGAGTGACCGGACGTTGGCTGTGTCTGGTGCAGAAAAACCGTCTCTGGATGCTTACTGGAAATGACCGGACGCTGGGGTTCAGCGTCCGATCACTTTTGCTGCAGCGTCTGGTCGTCTGATGATCGTTGGAATCGGGCGCTCAGCATTTAAAGAGAAGGGACACGTGGCACGCATCGGGCGACCAGACGCTGAGGTCCAGCGTCCGGTCAATATGACCGAAGCGTCCGGTCGGCCCGTGTTCAGTGCAGTGAGGAGTCCAACGGCTCTATTTTGTGGGGGCTTCTATTTAAGTCCCATGGCCGGCTCAAGCTCACTCTCTTGGCCATTTTCATTGACATAGCAACCTTGTGAGCTTAGCCAAAGCCCTCGCACTCATCTCCATCATTGATTGATCATCATTGTGAGATTGGGAGAGAATCTAAGTGCATTGCTTGAGTGATTGCATCTAGAGGCACTTGGCATTCTTGTTTCGCTGCGGGATTCACTTGTTACTCTTGATGGTTGCCGCCACCTAGACAGCTTGGAGCAGCGAGGATCATTGAGCGGAGGTTGGTGATTGTCTCCGGCTCCGATCGTGGTGATTGTGAGGGGTCTTGTGCCTTCCCTGGCGGAGCGTCGAAAGATAACTCTAGTGGATTGCTCGTGTCATTGAGTTACCTCACTTGTGGGTAGGTTCTTGCGATGTCCAATTGTGTGGACGAGGTTCGTGCAACACCTCTTAGCCACCGAACCACCAAGTGTTGGTCGACACAACGGGGACTAGCGTGCCGGCAAGCACGTGAACCTCGGGAGAAAAATTGGTTGTCTCTTTCCCTTTGGTTTTCTCCCGGTGATTGATTTAGTATTCATCTTATGATTGGTTCACTCCTCTACACGGCGGTATAATCACCCTACTCGGTCATTTATATTCTTGCAAACTAGTTGTGGCAAGCTCTTTAGTGTAATTAGATTTGAGAGCTTGCTTTGTTATTTTAAGTTCATCTAGTGGAGCTCTTTAGAGTAGCAAGATTGAGAGCTCTTAGTGAGTAGTAACATTGCAAGTTGTGTGCCTAGTAATCATTGCAACTAGAGTTGTTGGATAGGTGGCTTGCAACCCTTGTAGAGCTAGAGCAAGTTTGCATTTCGCTATTTGTCATACTAATCAAATTGCTCTAGTTGATTTATAGATTTTTAAATAGGCTATTCACCCCCCTCCTCTAGCCATATTAGGACCTTTCACCTTCTGGCTTGTTGTTTAGGTATTTGGGCCGGCCCGTGTGTTGCGCGTTGCTCGCAACGTTGTCTGTTGGGCCGAGCTTTTGTTGAGAAGCCGATCCATGAGGGACCCCGGGTTTATGAACCCGACATGTACATTACTCACCGTGAGATTTGAGCCTAGCATAGGCTCAAGTCGGAGCGCGAGTGTCTCGACGTTGAGGTCGTCAAGTGGCCTAGGGCCGATGGAGGGCGCTCCTCCTCCAGTGGACGCCGAGACGAGCGCCTCCTCCCGGAGGCAGAGTACGCCGAACTAGTTGGCGACGAAGTCCAGGCTTCCAAAGAGGAAAGTTTGGAGTGGCACGAAGACGGGAGGAACCCACATCCCAACAAGTGGGAGCGTGGGGAACTCCAGCGAGCCGAAGCGAATCGTATCGCTCGAGCCCGCCATGCCGAAGATGGTGGAATGGTGGGCCATCCGATGACCAAAAGAGTGACGCAGGGCGTCCTCCCCACGGACAACGCCAACTGTCCATGCGAAATTTGACCAATAAGTAAATATTTGCAGTTCTGTCGTGCGTTGTGATCGGATGTGGCCTAGCACGTGATGACACGGGATTTATAATGGTTCAGGCAACGTGCCCTACGTCCAGTTTCAGTCGGTCGGTGACTTTATTCCTGAGCCCAGGTGCTCGAAGTTTGCAGTGGGGTTACAAACGAGTGAGGAATGAGAAAGGGGGTGTTAGAGGCCCGGTCGGACTCTAAGCCTAATGGAAAAGAGTGACGGGTGCTCTAACGTGCGCTAAGTCTTGGAGCGTATGCTCTGTATAGCTGTCGAGTTCTAGAGCTGTTGAACTATTCGAGTCCTCAGGTTGTCGAGTCGTCTAGCCTTTTTTCGGAAGAGAGTCAGAGAGCTTCTTAGGAGAGAGCTCATCCCTTTTATAGTCGAAGGGGGATGGCCTTACAAGTTAGAGAAAGAAGGAATGAATACGTATGCTACCCAGTCTTGTTGTCCATGCTATTGGGTACGAGACGGTCGTCGGCGCCCATAATACTGTTTATGTCCAGATGCATGTGGTAGGCTCTACCGTGTTCCTACCTTGGCCGGGCCTTCCGGTCGAGGACCGGATCGTTGTTCTGGCCTATCATTATGTATCTGGGTCGGGAGGCGGGCGTTGTCGCTACGCCATCTGCTGGGCCGAGTTTTTCAGGAAAACGGGTCCATTAGTGACCTCGGGTTCATGAACCCGGCAATTCTGGTTAGACTTTTAGTTTTTTTTTCTTTTTTTGCATAACTCTCAGAGTAGCTTCTAGGTTAAATTCATGAGTAGCTTTGTCAATCAATATTTTATAGAAAAGTGATTATATGTTGATTCAGTATGGTGGGTTGTCTAAAATGAATTATGAGGCTAGGAACTAAAACAATATCTTCTCATGAATCACTTCTTGCATAAAAATGTATATTTACCTGGAGTATAATCACTTCTCATAAAAATAAAAACATGACGAGTTGCTTTTAAAAATCGCTTGATTCGTATCTTAGCTGAAACAACCCTGTTTATATAGTTACACAGCTATTGATTCAACAATTTTAACTATATCCTTTTGACCAAATAAGTTTAATTGAACCAGAGCTGCTAATCTACACTTGCTGTATGTCTGCATCAGAAGGAGTGAGTGTAACTGTGTAACTGGTAGGGCTAGAGCCAATATTTGAATATAGAAGGGTTGTTCAAGTCAACAACAATCATACTGTGTTTAGTTACACTGAGATGTGGCTGTACAAACCCTTATTATCGAGAGAACCCGTGTGTGTTGAGAAATCAGGTGCAATAATCCAACTCCAAAATTTGCCAATCAACTTGTCCAACGACGAATAAAGAACTAGAAGGAGCAGCAGCATGGAGGCTATGAATGAAGGCCAGTGATTGTGATGGAGATCGCCTGAGATGGTCCTTGCCGCTGGCTTGTCGATTGATGGATCCATTCCCGCTGTGCCTGCTAGGTGCTAGCTGATGCTGAGCCCCTTGTCCATCCCCAGCAGTCGTACCGGCGACAGCCTCCCGGGGCTGACGACGTCGGCAAGCCTCCGCCCTTTGCGCTCCTTGATGGTGTCCAGCCGCGGCGCCCACGGCCGGCCCCTCGTGGCGCCCACCAGCTGCTCGTAGTGCTTCCTCAGCTCCGGCGTGCTGCAAAGCGCGGCCGACCCGCAGCCGTCGCCGCCGCCGCCGTCACCTGCGACGGCCTTGACGATGAACTCCTCCGCGACCCTGATCACGGTGCGCCCGTCGCCGTCCTTGGCGTACTCGAACGGACTCTTCCGTCCTGCCGCTAGCGCCAGCGACGGCGCCGCCGCCTTGCCCCCACCCCTGCCGCGCGAGTGCGACGACGACGAGAGCACCGCAAGCGACGCCGCGGTGACGACCCCGTCGCCACTGCCGCAGGGGAGGCGGTCGACGGGGACGACGAGGTACGTGCGCCCGGGCTCGAGGCGGTCCCCGACGCCCAGCACCGGCGCGGGGCGGCCGACGCGGAACCCGTCCGCGCGGCACACCACGTGGCCCGCGTGCTCCGCCATCACCTCCCCGCCGCCCGCCCCGGTTCCGCGCCCCGCGTGCCCCCGCCCCACACCACCAGCCGTGCGTCGCGCCGCGCCGGGCGCACGCAGACGAGCCACCGGCGCATCAGGCTGTTGCCCGGCATGCCGCGCCGCGCGCCAGCAGCTAGCAGCACGTACCAACTACGCTAGGGCTCTGTTCCTAGGTGGGCGGTGGCGACTTGGTATAGGCAGGTGCAACCGTGCAAGCAGTGCCGGTGGGTGGTGGTGCGTTTTATACATATCGCAGGGCGTTTGGCGTGTCTGCATGGGCGTGTGGTGGCAGCTGTGCTGGGCGGTGGGTGCGCGGTTGACATTGACAAGGACGGGACGGGACACGGCATCGGTGGCGAGCCGCGGCGCGGCGCAGGGTGTTTTTTTTTCGGGGCCGGGGCACGGTGCCGCGGGCGTCAAACCGCGGTGGATCCGCGGCAGGCGCAAGCGCAAGTGGATCGGGGGTTTTGGTGGTGGGAGACGCCGAGACGGCGCGGGCGGCAGCGTGCATCTGCTGGGGGCCTGGGCGGAGGCGGTTTGGCCGCGCCTGCAGTTGCCGTGCGTGCGAGGGTGCAGTGCAGGCGGTGTTCCCGTGCGTTCCGGTACCGTTCCGTGGTGGTCTGTGGATGAGGCGTCGTCGGCGTCGGCGTGCTAGGCTGCGGCTCCAGTGCTTACCATTTACCAAGTCGTCCTGCCCCTGCACGGCACCGGCTGGCCGACACGTAGCTGACGCAGAATGGTGCTCGAAAAGTCAACCGCGAGGGATGGTGTCAATAGAGAACGTTTTAGGCTCCGTTTGGCTCTCATCATGAGCCGACTTATCAGTTATGGTATAATATTTTTCTCTTTTAACAAATTAGCTGTATAAATCAGCACAAACGGTTTATAGATCAGCTGAACAGAGCCTTACTTGTATGCACTGTAGCTTATTACAAATAGACCAAGAGCCTGATTGGTTGAGTATCAAAATTTGCCATGCCAAAGATTTGGTAAACCATGATTTTAGCTAGTATTTGGTTGGCTACTAAAACTTGCTAACTTCTCACATTTAGCTTGCTAAATCTTTGATAATTTTTTACTTAACTTTTGACTTGCCAATCAGACCCCAAGTCGTCGACCTTTTACTTTTCATTCCATCAATCACAGACAGAGAGGAGCTGCTACCTTGGATGCAATCCACGTCACCCCGATCCACATTGGCATGGCGCACACGGAGTACGGTGAACACTTTTTTGCTTGTGTTCTGGACTGGTCTGTGAACCCCAGACGCTTTAGATCCATCGTTTTCGCATGTTCGTTCGTTCTCTGGGTGTTGCAATTTGAGTTTCAGCGAGGGTAGTCCAGCACGATCGATTCACTAGTCCGTCCGTCCCTCGTCACTTCACTTAATGAGAGTACTACTTACTCCTATGTTCCGACGGTGATCCCCTTCAATTTCGTCCCACGCCACGAGTGATGACCAGATCCGATCCGGAACGCCGGAACGGAGACACGACGACTTGCCTCGCTAGTCGCAAGGCCTGACGTAGTTGGATGCTGCAGCAGAGAGTTTAATGCTCAAGCTAGAAAGAAGGGCCCTACTTTCTGCGTCAGCTATAGCCTAGTCACAATGTTCTCATTCAGTAGGGCTTATTTAGATAGGGTGTCGTATCGAAGGTTATACGTGGTGTTATATGAGATGTTCTGATACTAATAAAAAATAAATTATAGAATTTATCAGTAAATCACGAGATAAATTTATTAAGTCTAATTAATCTATCATTAGCATATGTGTTACCGTAGCACTTTGTTGTCAAATTATGGACTAATTAGGCTTAAAAGATTCGTCTCGCAAATTAGTCGCAAACTATGCATTTAGTTATTTTTTAGTCTATATTTAATACTCCATACATGTGTCCAAACATTCGATGTGACAGAACGTAAAGTTTTAGGGTGGGAACTAAACAGGGGCTCAGTAGTGCTTACCATTTATGGGTCAAAATCAGATCTACTTTTTAGTTATGAGAACATTATTTTTCTCTCATAATAAATCAGTTCCACGATTCAGCCAATAGCCGTAAATCCTGCCGAATAGGGCCAAGACTAGAAGAGGTCGTCGCTGGCCAGGATGCATGCGGCGTGAAGCAGGTACTACGGCGGCGCTGGACGAAGAACGACGCCGCGCCGCTGACTGCATCTGCATGCCGCCGCGCCCAGGCGGATTACAGTACAGATGCAAGATTATTGACTTCTCCTGGATCCTGGTTGGTTGAGCAGCAGATGAATGCAAGAGAAAACAAACCATCGCAAGTTGACTGGTGATCTTCTGCAATCATCATGCAATGCGAAGTACCCATCGTCCTCTAGTGCAACCATCTTTGGGTCAAAACGAAGATCTTGCACGTTCGAATAATCTTGCATGCATGCACCATGGTCATTAATTTTTGTTACTCATCAACCCAAAAAAAACCATGGATTCACCGTGGCCCACTTTAAGTATATCAAGATTTACATTATATAATAATAATCTTTGACCTATAATTTGATCGGTAATTTTTAGCTATTGTAATACAAATGACACATTTAGATTTGTAATTAAATCTACTGTTCGATGATCACAAGTTTATGATCGTAAACAATACAATGAAAAATGAATGAATTGCTGTGTAGCTTATAGAAGATCATGTCATGGTAAACTGCATCTTATAAACTGGACCGAAGGATTGCGTTTAATTTCTTTTCGAGCTACGCATTTGGCAGTAACTTGGGTTAAAAAAAAACTGATCTCATGTGTAAGTGTAACTCGCAGCTGCATGCAAGCCGGCGTTTACCTCTCTGGAGTCTGGACTGTGTGGGCTCTGGTGATAGATATACACACTTTTGGCAGCCACTTTGATTATAAGTGCAGCGAAAGTCCTGCACCACGGAATAATTATTAATCGTAGGATCCGAGTTGACGACTGGGTTTGACTAAATTAGCCCCTTAGGCCAATCTCAATGTAAGTTTTACGCAGTTTCATGAATGTTAAATATTTTGACATGACACTGTATTGATGAAGAGGGATGATGAAAGTTTCATATAAGCAGAGAGAAATGATGAAAAGTTTCATAAAAGTATAGAGAATTTTATGGGACAAACTCTTCAACACTCTAAAATATGAGTGTGTTAAAAACTAAGCATAAAACATCCACTGAGACTGGTCTTAGTAAAAGATTGAAAGAAGAAACCACACCACCGACTGTGCGACTTGCATGGTTTCTGAAATGGCGGTGCTAGCAAGAATTATTGCATTCCGTTATCAGGTCACCGTAGTATAGGACGTTGAAATTTGTGATGTTGGTAGTAAAAGGTATAGAACAGGTGTAAATATAAATTGCAACATATGGGAGCTTCCATGCATACCATGGGAGGATCCACCTATGGATAAACGTCTCGTTCGCTTGGCTTATAAGCCGTACTTTATCAGTCGACAAACAGTATTTTTCTCTCATAATAAATCAGCCAGTACTTTCAGCCATGGCTTATCAGCGAAGCGAACATGGCAAAAAATAGATGAGACAAATCATATGTCCCGTCCCATTCAGTTTTGTACAATTTTCAATTTTTGGAGAATATACAAAGGGCAAAATGGTAAAGAATATAGAGACAATACAATATTCTAATGTTTTCCCTAATTGTTTTGGCATTTCCCTTTTTCTCCACTACCTTGCTAGCTTTCTTAGTTCCTTTTTATATGTAAGATTGAGACGCTAAACTATATGTTTATGGGTTTATTTAGATCCAATTTTACTAATATTTAACTTTGTCCTAAGTTAAATATTTATATCTTTGACAATCAATTTAAAAAAATATATCGATTCACGACATGCGCTTTATGTTTTTAGATTCACCTAAAAAATACTTTCATAGCATATAATTCACATATTGTGAAACAATAAGAATTTATAAGAATTTTTTGAAATAGATGACCGAAGTTAACAATATTTGGCTTAGAACAAAGCTAACGTGACATGGAAAAAAGAACAGAGAGAGTAAGGAGGTTGTTTGGATCTATCTACTAATATGTTGCCAATATGAGGTTGGCGCCGTCGCGCTGATTAGCAACCCAAACCTGATCTACTAGTAGGGCCTACTAGTACTAATTTTAGTTGCTACTTATATTACTACATCCATCCTAGAAAGAATACAATTTTAGGCACGTTCTCGGTTAAAGTGACTAAAGTTTGACAAAATATATAGGTAAAACTATTAATGTTTATGATGTTAAATAAGTATATTGTGAGAATATGTTTCATGATGAGTCCAATGGTACCTAAACTAGGATGATAGATATGAGTAATTTTTATATTGATTTGGTCAGACCTGATATATTTTTGGGAACTGCTGGCGGCCGAACGTCCGATCGGATATTGATCCGTCGGACAGTCGTACCGGGGACCGGGCCAATTCGTTTTCCCGGCGCGCGCCTGCACTTCGCGTACCCCGCTCGAGTCTACTTTTCACACGCCCACCGGGGGACCGTGCCCGTGGGGACTACTGGCGACCTGCGCCCGTCGCTCCTCGTGTCCGGATGGACGGCCGCGTTGTAACACCCCTGGTGTTACGTACCTGATTAGCACATATGTTAAGACTTAACAAACATGATAATATATTTGAATGTGCTTGAGCTTTAAATGCTTGCATAATCATGTCATGAGCATCATGGTTATTCTTGATTGTATGTGTTGAGTGTTGCTTGAGTTAGTAATTACATTTCGTGTCAGGGCAAGCATTTAAGATTAATTGATTAATAGAGTTCTCTTAATATTTAACAGCTAGTAAATAAATATTAGCTTGTGTTTGGTTTCTTATTAAATTAATTGCTTGTATATCTTGTGCCGTTCTTTTATAATAAGCTTGTAGTTCACTCTAGTGCCTGTTTTTCCAAAGTCTGAAGCCTTGTTGACTTTGCTTTGCTGCCATGTTCTGCTCGTGTTAGCTCAAATGAGGCTTTATTTGGACTTAGCTG